TCGATATTAAGCTTAAATCAAACTCGTCAATATTTAAATAAAATTGGTCCAGACTATATTTGAAAGACCAGCTGACCCGCTTCTGGCTAACGATTACAGCCTGCGCGTTTGGCGGCGGAATATTTTAAGATAAATTATTTACAAGCGTTTCGAGAAAGACGTTATTTTTAAAGCGTCGTTTCCACGTTTATTATCCGGTGGCTGCATTACTCGGTTTTACATTATTATCCGTTCCCACGTTAAAACGATTTACGAGTACGTTCATGCAGTCGGGCGAACGTCACGGCTATAATGGAGACCGCGATTTTGTCACATACAAGCATTTTTCCTTGCTTCATTCGATGAACACACGAATGACACGGTAGCTCAATTCGATTCGATCGTGGGTTAGAGTCATAATTATTTCTTTACGTTATTTTATTTATTTATTCTTTATTGAACAATAAACAATAATAGTATCGCTAACAAGCGATCTCTTCCAGGCAACCTAAAATTTAAGAGAAGAAAATAAATAGAGAGAATGTGTAAGGTATGCGAAGCAAGTAATAATATTAATTAGAGAAATAATAAAACCCAAGTTAACCATATTTTGTGTATTAAAATTAGTATGGACGTCTTTGCTGTATTCCTTTGGACAATTGGGAAGAGGAGTGTCAGTTGTTGCTTAGAGAGGCATGAATTAAAACTGTTAAGAATAAAAGAGTAATTTTCGCAATTATAATATGATTATTATAGTATTAAATACAGTCTATTATAATACAACTTTAGATACGATTAATAATGAAAAATCTAGCCAAGTGGGAGTCGATCTCGCTCATGAAAGGTTCCGTATTATGGAGATAACCCATAGAAGGGTATTTCATACTGTAAACCGGCACTGATGGCAAAATTGTAATACTTCATTAATTTCTTTTCCATTTAATTTTTTGCCTTTACCTGTGAGAATAATATTTTTTACGGTAAAATACCTTTATCTAGTTCTACAGTTCCCTCAAATGTTTATTTTAGTTGCTTTGAATAATTTATATAGCGGCAACAGAAGTACATTATGTGTTAGAACTTAAACTCTAAAGCTATCGCGGTTCTTATAACACAAGCTTGTATCTGATAGACACAACGCGGTCTTATTAATACGGTTCTTTGCGTACGGAACCCCAAAAAAATGATTGGCAACACGATTTTAATTTCGGGCAAAAGGAAGCAAATGTCAAAGTTTTATGTTTACAGCTTCGTCGCTGATGATTCACGCGCGTGAGTCAGGATTTCCCTTCGCAGTGTATCTGCAGATAGAAGAAGGAAGTGCCATGAGTATTTTAATATGTCGCTCCAATGTTTAATGACTCAATGTGATTGAGCAAATAAAATAAAAACTACGATCTCGCTTTCCGAGTTTAGGCTCTTGGCTATCACTTCTTGATCAAGCCTGTGTAACCTATGCAATAAATGCACCTTCATACCGGCTTAACGCTTCATTCTCAAACATACTCACTCCGTAACGAAACTTTGATTTCCTAGCTGGTAAAACAGAATCATTTCTTAAGTTTTTGATTTTTCGACTGACTATGTCATTGGTACTTTACACGCTATTCTTAGTATATATTTACGCGAATAATACACGTTTTAATAAAACACTTTAACGATTTAAAACGCAAAGTAAATACTAATCTTATTTTGAATTTATTTACCTACTGCATCACGTTCGGACGCTGTGAAGTCCTCTCCGTGACCTCGGATGCTGCAGAGCATCCGAAAGTTCGGGCCGTAGTTAAATACATTAAAAATAAGATGTTTAAAATAACTCGCGTTTTAAAGCGTTAAAAGTATTTTAAGTACTGATAATAATTAGAGCAATGAGATAGTGGGACATTATCACACGCGTAATTTTAATTTTAGCAATACATAATAATTATAAATTCCCAAAACATTGTTTTTTGACGATTTTATTATTTTTAGATATGTAAATAAATTAAACATTAAAGTTAATACAAAAAAAAAAAAAAAAAACGAAAAAAAATTATGTAAATAAAGTTAATACTAAATTGTGATGAATGTAGTAAAACCTGTTTAACATATTTATTATTATAGGCCTAGTTGTTGCGTAGATTTTGAGCCGCTTACACGAACATTACGTTTGCAAAACCATTTTGTTCGCAAACTACAAATTGGCTAAAGATACATTACCCCATCTAGGATTCTCACAACAACATTGTATAAAAGGGGTAGAGAAAATGGAAGCCATGCCAAACCCAGTTAGTTTGTAGGGCGGTTATCATAAAAATATCGGAAACTAGAATCATATATCTTGTTACATAGCTTCATGCGATTTTTGGTAGCTACAACCAGCGTTACAGTTGTTTGCTTAGTACGCGTCTTAGAAATCTATTGGAAAATACCGTGTGTAGTTTACGCGAGTAGTACACATTTAAGTAAAACACTTTAACTGTTCAAAACTGTTTTTGTTTTTGTGAGCAACTTTTAAATAAATGATTTTTATTATTATTATTATTTTAAATAGTTAAAGTGTTTTATTCAAAAAATCTATTGGTCATGTTATGTTGCCTTGATCCCTAAACGGTCCGTTTAACAACGAAAAGTATTCACCATATAAGTAAAATTTAGAATATCAAATCTAGTAGTGATAATTTGACAGGTTTGAATTGATATAAGCAATCCAAAGTTTTTTCCTAAGTAAGCTAAAGTATCCTCTACGGACTAGATCCGCTGTAGCAAGTAATTGCGTAGCACTGCTACGAATTGACATTGTCTACGAAGTGTAAATTAAACAAATGAATGTACACAGAGTAACGATTACTAAGAAACAATTGAAAGTTTATATTTTACATGTTGAAGTAAATGTGGGTTATACAATTTCACAAATTGAAAAGTTAATGAAATGATAAAGTGAGCGAGTAAGACATGTTGCGTTGTGTGCCGTAAGATCAGATTCGTAGTTTAGTACATACGTGCTTTGTGTGGCTCTAAAGCCACGGCTAGGAAAGTTGTTTCTCGCAGATTCGAATCTTGCTGGTTTCATATTTTTTAATATCTTTTAAATAATTTCATCTATTAACTTTTACACTAATTACATTAGCACTCACACTTAATAGTTCGTATTTCGACGCAATGCTATTCGGGTTTTCGAGCTGTTTGGCCATTCTTGTTGTTTAAATTAAAGTTAAACTGAGATAATTCGATGAACGCTTACTAATATCTTCTAATGAAGATGCAACGTCGAGAATTACTAAGGCTTTTTCTAGATTTTTATTCTTTATATTATAAATAGATATTATTCGTATATGTTAAGAAAGCTATCCAACAAAATATTATTACTAGAGAACACAGACAAGGGCCGTCTTTATTATTAAAGATATCAATAGATCAGTTATTGTATTCTTCTGAATAAATATAAAACAGAGCGCGCTCTTCGTCCAATACCAGCCGTTAGTTATATTGGAATGTAGTGAGACGTATGTATATTTATCAACACATTGATGTTGGTAGATGTTCACAGAATTTTACAGCAATACATTTTTGCTTTAGTAATAGTTATTACAATTATTTACAATACAAACATAAAAAAAAATACAAAATAGCAACGCTTATAAATGAGATGTATGTATATTAATTAGCCTTTGGTGTAACACAAGCTGATTTACAGTGATGGTGATACAGCCATGGTTGGTCATAAACACACTCGTAACACAATTGTTTACGATTAAAAAATTGAAAACAAAATAAATAATAATATAAAGAATTATACCTATGCCAAATCATAGAGGTACGAAATGGATATGCCCTGTCTGTCCGTCTGTCCGACTTTGTTCAAAAGTATAGAAGGCGCATAGATAAAGCTTGAAGCAACAACTAGGCTTTGTTTCATTTTACGTACAGAGATACTGACTGTAGTTTACGCGAGTAGTACACATTTAAATAAAATACTTTACCGGTTTAAAACGCGATATATTGTAGTTGAGCGTGTTTGAACATTATTTTTAACTACAACCGACGTTTCGGATGCTTTGCAGCAGCCGGGTCACGTCTCCTCTTGACCACGATACAGAGATTTAAAGTTTTTTATCCGTCGCGGGTAATACGTAGAAAACAAATGGTTTTTTTTTATTCAATAAATACAAAGACTGATTAGCTCATTAAACCTCGTAGTCAGCATACTACTGATTTTTTAGAGAAAGTATGGTCCTCTTTTAGATATAGCTTCATGTATATTGATGTAACGATATGTTGGATGGCACGCTGCTACGAGCCTGTCTAGAGAAGCCTATTTACCCTTGTCTTGTAAAACCTCAACCAATAGATTAGATTGGACTCAATATAGAGCAGCTTAATTTGACATATTCAACTTCCATTTTGATTTGTTTTTCAAGCTAATACTTTTGTGAATAGCCTTCCGTTTTGTTTAATTTGGTAAAATAAATAAAAGGGGCAATGACATTGAAGTCATGTGAATTATGAACAGCTCGTTCTATTCTTACAGTGTTCACGGTGGAATAGTGGTAGTAACATCGAAATTCCATGAAGCAGTAAAGTTTCTACATTTCAGTTTCAGTCGGGTCCAACATTTGTTCTTATTAATCTATCATTCATCAATTTTCTATTTCTCTGAAACTGTCTGGAAATCTGGGTATTAAATGGGTCATCGAAAACTTATCATGAACCACCGTCCGCAGATTAAAAAGTCGTCAAGTTTCATATTGTTTCGTCTGTGTATTTCCGTTGTTTAGATGCTGGGATATTTTACCTATGTCCTGGTCTAACATAAAAAAAAGAATAACACACTTACAAAAATCATTTTAACGTTTCCAATATAGTTTTAATAGACCAAAACCGCGTTATAAAATTCTCTTTGAAGCTGCTTTATTACGTTCACGTTTCCAATATTTTATTTCCGACGCTACTACGGTTTTATTCCATCGGAGTATTTTACGGTGCACTGGAATATCTGTGAACGCTACAGGTACACTCAAAGATGTTTACTCTTCCAGGATCCGAAGATACGGAACGTGGTTCTCATCGGGTCGCAGGGATCGCTCGAAGATAAAACGGTCACGGTGTGTCACGGCGCCGACTTCGTCAATGTCACCTTCGTTAATTTCTGCTGCACGAGGAAGGAGATTGCACAGGTGGGTAGCGGAATTACTTCGAGCTTATCGCTCTTTTAGAAAAGCTCTTAAACTATTGTCTGTAGTTTTCTCTCTCTCAACAGATTGTTTTGTTTTATTTGTATTTACACTCAAACAGCCTTGCACGACACTTAATTAAATAATAATAATTAAATAAGCGGGGCTTATATTAATTAATCCAAGTAAGAAATTATGATAATACAATTTGCTTAATATTGCTGTTTTGAATTTGTATAAGCAATTCCAACAAAATATAATCGTTAATATTCTTAATTTAACCGTCTGCAGCTTTCTCTATCGGTTAGTTAGTAGTGTAGTTTAAGATTAAGTATTGTCAGACGAACAGTAGAGTTTTTAATACCGTCTGTGGGTTACGCGAGTAGTATACTTCGTCTTAGGGGTAGGTTGAGTAGGATTTGGCTGAAAATCAGTGTTATAAATTATGCTGACGCAAGACCATTTTGACAGCACGTTCCTTGAAATGTCATTTAATCTTTTTATATTAATTATTTTTTGTAATTTCATTAAATACTTTCTAGTATGAATGCCAAATAAAGAAATTTATTATATTTATTTCACGCGAGTACACATTGAAATAAAACACTTATAACGGTTTTTTTTCAATTATGAAAGACGACACGTTTGGCTGTGCATTTATCTTTACCTATAAATGGTTGCTTGGAATTGGTCCAGATTGTATTTAGAAACAATGACATGGTGGGAGGGGGGAACTTTCCAATCACTACACTACTGTTTTTAATAAGAAACTGTTAAAAATGGAACATATAATTTCGGCCCGTAGTTACAATAATATGTTACTATGTTGTAATAAATTTTGTGTTTCAAACAGTTAAAAGTGAAAAACCTTTTATACTACTAAATCTATTGTGTCGATTAAGCCTTAGTTATTTTACCAGTTAGAATCGATTTCACAGAAGTTCGATCGACTTACCTTAAATGACAATCGATCAGTAAAATTGTCACTCCATGGATACTATCTCTCGTTTATGCCCCGGCGAAACATAAGTTTAAGTAGATTCATTTTTGACCTCAAACCCAGCTAGCAGTACTTAGCTTTTTATTACACTGTGCACTAAACGTTACTCATTAAACACCTGCAAAAATAGAGCTCTTGTTTTCCGTTTAACGGCGAAATTAAGTTCGTTTGAAATAAAAGCGTTTTAAGTGCTCACCGCGAGTAATTTAATTAATATCGAAAGTGCGCGTAATTGTTTGGATAAATCTATTGCTTTTTATTATGGAGTTAATGTCTAAAAAATAAAAAAAAATAAACGGTTTTTTTTTCACTTTTTTGTTGCAATTTAATTAATATAAAATAAAGTCTTCAGACGTTAAACTCTAATCATCTTCATTTATTTTTTAAGGTACAAAGTACACTAAATCTTACTATGTTAGTGTTAAAATTGCATTGCGCGACTAGTGCATTTGTCAATGGGTTAAAATTAAAGTTCCATTGGGTAAAGCTCTGACCGTTTTTTCACGCCGTTCCACCATACTGCTCCAATATGGGTTGGCGAATCACCATTATCGACATTATATTAGGGGTGAAAACCGACAGCTTCAAATATTGAAGCCAACACTTCGCCCGTTCCAGGATTCGAACCTCAAAATATTAAAATACATTTAGTAATATTCTCGTGAACTGCAGTCAAATGCACTAACCACTAGACCAACGAGGCGGTTGAAAATTACGCGCTGAATAGGCCCTAAAGCTTTTTTAGACTTTGCCGACTTACCTGTTTTAAAATAAATATTCCTAATGTGAATAAATAAGGAAATTATACAAGAATAGATTAGAATATGTAAATACACAGTTAAATCCAATTGTGTTGAGGCAAGGCGGTGGTTTGTGGCGTCGTATGTCCAAGACGGATATAGAATTAATTCCGTAGCGCTTTGGTTCCTAGGTCCGCAAGCTGGGCTATAATTTAAACAATATTTGAATACTAAATGAAGTTACCTTTGACGAACTCATGTTGGGCTTCGTCTGGAAATCTGGATAAGAAGTGGGTTGTAGGAATATCAAAATTCCGTATCCAATCTCTAAAATCTTTTAACGGCTTGAAACGCGAAATGTAAACGTTACCGTGGTCACGAGGGGGCTTCAACTTATATTTAACTTTAGAAAAACCTATGAATCTACACACGATCTAACATAATATCCAAGATACGCTTTCGGCTTATTTTAGCTTGCTTTTCATTGACTTTGACATTAGCAGAAAAGCAATTTAAAATAGTGAAAAATCATTTATTCACGGTAACTACGTACACTCATGAACGTTACACAAGTTAAAAACTAAAGACTCTAAATTTACATTCACTACCAGTTCTCAAACCAAGGGCATAAAACGAACGAGAAGAACTGGCAAGATACTCGCGGCCACTCCTTTAATCGCCGAGTTTTAATTTACATACTTCAAGTGTACTATGATTTTTTCTCGTTAGAATCTGCTTAGTTACGAATTCGCTAAGAAGTAATAACTCAACTCTGACGCGACACTTAAATCAAAGCATAAACCAATAACTGTAAAAGGTACTTACCAGCGTTTGTTTATCAAATGGCTATTTTACGTTCGCTTTACTATCACCTCGAACACTGCATATTTATTACCGGCGCAGTAAAACGTATCATCTAATGAATTCGAGATCACCACTATAAATTATTAACCACTCCCCGCAAACCTTTGGAAGCCAGCCCCGCGGGATCGATAGCTTTGGACAGTGCCCGAATTACGTGCTCAACATTATGTTATGATGAACTCAACTGAAGTATGAACACGGGTTTCAACTCTTGTCGAGAACGATACGTTGGGGAATAATATATTTCGCGTTTAAATCCGAAACTGTTTTATTTAAATGACGTTTCTTTAATTAATAATCTAAATGATAGGCACGTTGATCCACCAGAAGGGTGACGATTCGTGGGTTCGATTCTTACCGCCTGCAACATTTTAAATTTTGTTCTAACGTGTTTGACTTCTTTTAGACCTTGATATTTAAAGCCGTGACGCATAATTTTGTTTCGATTTCAGTCCGTCATGATTTTATTGTCAAAAACAAATATAGGACGACAGCGCATCTTGTTTCTTTTTTACGCGTTTATGTCTGGGATATAGAGGCCGCGCCGGCGCCATGTTAATCTTGTTCCTTGTGCTTATGGTGCCCGATAGTATATAACATTCCAGTAGAACAATATATGTCCAGAAGTTTCCTCGCTTTCATTATTCATGCTTTTAGTGTTCATTTGAAGTAATAAAGTGAATTTGCAAGCTTTATAATTATATTTTTCTAAAAGAAAAAAGATTGAACTTATTCTTATATTAAAAATATTCTTATTTACCAAAAAAAATTAATGAAAAAAAAGTCGTAGTACACTCAGGAGTCAGGACGCTTCTCAAAATTTTATACGTTAATATTATAAAGTTCCTTTTTCTAACACACAATCCATTTTTTTCGCAGCCGTTCGTCTACGAAGCCTCGAATGCACTTGCATTCAAGGTTTATTATTGTTTAAAACTACGAACCGTTTATAATTGAATGCGCCAGCGCATCTTGTTTTTCATTCCGCACTTCTGATTTGTTACCTTAACTAAAAACTAAGGAGATTCTACATATATCGACGACAAGATTAACCAATTTTAATGCACTACTTTACCTACTTTTGCTCGATATAAAAAAATCTTAAAGTTACCTTTTATTGTTGATGATACTATCAGTCTCTGGCGCTGCTATTCCAGAGGTATCAGGAATTAAGTATTTGACGCCATAAAGCTGTCTCAATCAATTTACAATAAAAAATAAGTATTACATATAGCATTATAATTAATATAATATATTAGTAGTCTTTTGAAAAGTTTATTGCACATAAAGACACTATTTAAATTGAGTAAGGCTTTCGCGGCCATCGTTCAGCATATCATTGTCTTTCGGGCTGTTCGGCCGATGCGAGCGAGACAATGACAATGACATGCAGGCACTATATAATTAAAAAATCGAAAATAAATTGAAAATATTTTCGACTCGGGCAGGACGTGAACCGGCATCACCAGCGTTCCGTGCTGTTGCTCTACCAATTGAGCTACCGAGTCCTGCAATTCAATTGAGCTTGTCAAACTTTTTTCAATTTATTTTCGTTTTTAAAATTATATTAGTAGTCGTTAACAATAAGTAGACCAGATCGCTTCTTACCAAATAAAGAAAGCTATCCTCGTCTTTAGATGATAAACTAGTAGTCACATTATAAAAAAATAATTACAGAATTTTTGATGACTGCCTAAAATACTGTGTAGAATATAATTTCCTTTTGGTTTACATTGTATACCTTATTGATTGCATTTTGCTTTCCGTCTAGAATTTTCTGCCGAGCATTGTCGCTTCCCGAGCTCGAGATTCCAATTAGGAGTAACTCGAACATGACGCAAATGACTCAAAGGCTCGCCGGGGTGTGGTTGAAGGGTTGCATTATTGTGCTAATTATAGAGTTTATCGTAAAGATGGCGCGCCATAACTCCCACCGAGTAAACGACACGGTTCGTGGAACTTTCGGTCACTTCTCGTCGAATGTGATGGAAATTGAAAACAACCAATTTCCGTGGGATTTCTATTTCCGCTTCGGCGAATTACTGATTCATACACGTTGTTTAGGAAGCTTTATCAAGATTGTTATTTTTACTTCCATTGATCGACTTTGAATTGCTTTGGTGAGGACGTCTTTTGTTGTATAACAATGTTTACATTATTTTAGGTCTACATTTGCGCCATTTGCCAAACCTTATGAAGAATATAAAAAATAGACTATTAAATTTTTATTTTAATATGCTTCAAAAAAATATCTTCATGTTTACAATTACGCTATGTTTAAGTTATGAAGGCTTAAAAGCGTGTCGAGGGACATTACTTGTCTCTACTTTGTTTTATTAGTTCACTCCAAGTTGACAAGCATGGGATGCCCTTATAAGATACCCCAGCCAAATAACATATAAACAAGATGCACTGTTGATGTATTTTGGCGTTTGATATTCGGATATAACTGAAACCGAAGCGTAATTTAACTTGACGGATGTTTTCGGACGGTTGGACGGTGATTCTTGAATCGTACGGGATTTTGTCATTCCTACCACCACGTTTAATTTGGTGATGCCGTCCGTCATGTTTTAGAGAAATGTAAATTGGTTAGAAACATTTTTGACCCGGCAGAACTGGCTTATTAGATATAAATTGCTACCATTAGACCAACGAGATTTTAGAATATATCAAGCTGAAGAGTTTGTTTGAACGCGCTAATCTCAGGAAGTATGAGTTCGAATTGAGAAATTCTTTTGTGTTGGTTAGAGCATTTATCGAGAAAGGTTATAACACATTGTGATGTGACTAATAGAAGCGAAGATACAGCGAGAAATGTGAACAAAATGTGGGAAAATTTTCATCTCTGTAGGTTTCAGACGCGTACGCTGCGAAAACGGTTCAAGATACCTAAAAATTGTGTATGAAAGAATGATTCCCCTTTAAATGGTCTAAAAAAAATCCTTGACGCAATTTGTCTATCTTTTAAGATTAACTTGCAAGAACGGGATGGGACGCGACCGACATTGTGGCTAACAGCTTAAGTTTATAAAGATGACGGGGTTTGCAAAAACTTATTTGGTTGCCCAAAATAACGATTCTCGCGGACGAAGTCGCTGGCACAGTTAATATTTAATAAATTAGTTACCACAAGCAAAACTTTAAAATTGAGTTGCCAGACTCCACCCGCGCAGTCTAACACAAAAAAAGCTTTCTAAAAGAGGGAACAACACATGTTGTGAGAGAAGATATGGTCATGGCTTATATTCCTGTTTAACCTATTATATATGAACATGGCTGTAATGACTGCCAGCAGATGCTGCAAATTCCATTATTGCAACGCACAGGGACAAACGTTCGAGAAACGTGTTAATATTGCAAGACTTAGATTCCATAAGTTGTGTGTCCATGGTTTATGGGAACGGGGGCAGCTCGTAATTATTCACATATTAATTCAGTATTAGTTACACATACACACATACATATTTTAATTAACAAATGTACTGAATAGATGTCTCGAAATAAATAGATTTAACTTATAATATGCATAGCTGGGAACTGACTCCACTAGCTCTATACTTTCTCTGAAGCGACAACATGTGTATATTTTTAAACAAGCTGTGGCTTCGACTTCGACTGCGTAAAATATATATTATTTGGGTGTCTTGAACTTTTTTTAGCACGCAACAGAAACAAACAAAGATGAATAATTTTCCCCGTTTTTTTCACGTTTTTTCGCTCCTATCGATCGTAGCATGATGTTTTATAGCCTTAAATAAATACTCTAACTAACGCATAAATATTTTTTCAGTTGGAAAAAGTACACATTTTTTTTTTTAAATCGAACCAGTAGTTCCTGAGATTAGCGCGTTCAAACAAACACGTTCGACCATTTAAAGGGTAAAACATATTCACTTATTTTTAACTGCGACCCGACGTTTTGGATCCTTAGAGTAATATCTTCATTCTTATAGTAATTTACAACTTGTTATCCTGATTGCATAATAAGCTATTTCTTTACTTGATAGATGGATTGAAAATAAAATATTTAACATTAATCTCTTATGATGACGTTGTAAACATAAATGTTATAGTGAAAATTTTATTAAAATAATAAGAGAACAGAAATATTCTATTTTTTTTATTCATATGAATAATCGTCTCATTTGTACTGGGGATCTAGACTCCATGATATAACAGTGATTACCAGCAATTACTTACCGTGGCCACAGAGGCATGGCCATCTGTTGCCTGTTGTAAAATTATGCGGCCCCATAAAGCGACTTGTACTACGCGAGCACGACAAAGAAAAATATCTTTACGTCTTTTGAAATTCATTCTCGACTCGAGGCTGGAAATTAATAGCGAGGTGCATTTTACTTCTAGTAAAAGAACGGTAACGTGGAAACTTTAATTTAAAGAATTAGACTTCCTACAAGAATCTCACTCTCCTAATACTAATAATAATGTAATAATAATAACATGAAAACGAATGCACGCACTGGAACCGAATATTCCTAGATATTCGGTTTCAGTGTGTGCATTTCCTAATGTCCAAAAATCATAAAAAATATATTTCAATTCATAGATTGCTTTCTGCTAATTATACTTATTCACAAGAACTAGTTGAATGACAAATAAATGGATTTATTATTAAAATGTTGGTCGGGAATAATACGATTCAACTTTACTTTTTATCTCGCTACATTCGTTATGTAAGTAGCGTCTCTCGCCAATCTATTACCAAGTTTGCTAGAACTTTGTTATCTACTTTCGTTAAAAATAATGTCTTAATATGATTTATGGTAAGAGTGTCTGGGATATAGCCGGGACGAGAAAATACAGCTTACATCTAACCATTAACTAAGACATGTTTTTAAAGAATGTAGTTAACATTTAGACTGAAAATAGAGATTTCAAATTTAACGTATTATCGTTGGCTTACAACGATACCTCGTATTACGTCCTATTGTACTAAATAAAATGTTTTAGACGGTTTAAAATTGAAAATATATTATTAAAAGCATTTCGCATGCTTTAGTCTAATATAATTATTTTGTCTTTCAAAAATACATAAGGGGGGTACGATTAGCATGCCATGAAACCATTTCTTTACGTTACCTCAATATTCTGAAGCTATCGATCACCGAATAATAGATATAAGATATCCTAATGTTGTGTATCTGACAATTACATGAGGTATCATTTTCATGACTTATGAAAACCAGCAGGGGGTTTACTCGATGGAAGGTGAAACATCCCTTGTGCATCTAATTACGACGTGCTGTCACCTTACTGGCGTTAGACTACATACCGTGATTTTACTCAACTTTACGTTTTCATTTAAGAATAGCGTGCGCTTCATTACCCCCCATTATAATTTTCAGCAAACTTTTCTTAAAACTAAAGTGTTGTGAAAATTTCCCTGAGTTGTTCGAGAGTTTACCGTGAAACGAAACTTTTCCATTACTGTATCAGTCCGTACTGGAGTAATAGTTTATGAACTCATTTATTTCTTTAAAGAACAATGGCTCCAGCTGAAACTCACTTCTCTAGACCTTTTTGACGTTGATACAATGTAGAGACGCCTGACACTTCTTATGTAGTTTACTGACATTTTGTCTCTTTGTAATAATTGTATTATGCTTCACGAAGTTCTTCTACCGGAGAGTAATTTTATAACGAATTTAATATTTAATTGACGCCGACACAAACCACAAATTATGTTTGATTTGGAATCACATCAGTGATAAAAGACGGTGGTAATCTTACAGTTCAGATAACGTTTTTGAAGCTACTCCGTAAAAACGATTGTAACAATAAAATCAATGTTTAAGAATTATCATTAAATAATCAAAAAACAGGAACGTAATAGTTTAAGTTTTGGCCTAAAACTATGATCAACTTCTTGTGTCTTGTTCATATGCCATACAAGGGATTTCACTCAAAATCAGCTTCCGAGATGTATGATGATCACTTGGCAATATTTGTAACTTGGTTAATAAAATATAGAATATGTTCTGATTATCCAATATTGTTTCAGTTGTGGACGGAAGAGCTATTCAGCCTTGCATACAACCTGAACCAATACAACAATCCGACCATCAAGTTCTTGGAGAAGCTACACACGAAGATCGTCCTGAAAGCGGACAAGTCCGGCAAGATACTTGTCAAGAAGTAAGTCCATCTTTTTACACTTACTTTTAGGTTTACTGTCTAGTTTTGGGCTATATTTAGAATAAAGTTGGAATTTGAATTTCTTCGGCTATCATCGTAATCGGTTCATAAACTGCGAACGAAAAAAATAAATATTTGATTTGAGAACCTATTTCTTTGAAGTCGGTTAAAATCGGACTCGTCTTTGAACCAAGAACTCAATACGTATAAGGATTTCACGTGTTGAGTTTTATATGATGCCGTGGACGTCCAGAGATAGAAAAGCCGTAAAGTGTAATCGCGTGTCGTTTGCAGTCTGTGGATTTCTGAATGTGCGAAACTGATCGACTGCGCATTTTGTTTAAATGTTATTTTGATTTAATTTCACGTTTGAACAAGTAACCCCATGCTTCTAAGTTCGCCGTTGTCTAAGTATTTAATATTGCGTAAACGAGTGCCTGCTGAATACACGGACATGAATACAAATCTTAATTTTTTCGATAACAACTAAGTAACAATTATGTAATTTTTTAATAAATGTCTCCAACTTTCGCAAACAAAAGACTGCCGCGCTCAGAAACTCAAATGTTTATGATTGATAGGCTTTTTAATAAATTGCTGGATTAAAATGTTTCAAGAATGCTTATTTGAAATCGCAGAGTAACAGAGGCTTGGATTAAACAAAGAAGTGTCGTTTGCTAAAAGTGTAACCTCAACTTTACGGATTGTGACAATTCACTTTCTCCGGGTCTTTATTTTTATCCCACTTTTAAGATTTTTTTTTAATGACTCAGCAAACGTTTTGCCATATAAATTAAAAGTGTAGAAAACTATAATTTAATAAAAACGCCGAGAATGAAGGTTATTATTAAAAAAGAAAAAAAAAAAATTGCTATTGAAAAGTAGAGTTTTGCGATAGAAGAATGAAAATTTAGGGATACCATTATAAATTATTATCCTTTAATGTGAAAAAATAATCGTAATCGAGACCTACAAAATTTCACATGAAATGGTCAAGCCGTTTCAGAGGAGAGTTGAAAGTAACATTTTGTTACTAGATTTTATGAGTATATTTATTTATTTACTCTTTATTGCACACAGAATAACAATGATTAAGAATATCTCTTCCAGGCAACCCAAAGTTGAGAAAAAAATTGAGAAAATGAGATTTGCAAGTTAGGCGAAAGAAATTAGTACAAACAATAAAAAAAAGGAAAACTTAATAAAATAAAAACATATAGATCTAAAAAGGTTACATGTTTACTGACTTAAACAAAGGGACATACATTTCAAATAAATAGATAGTGGCTTTCGTGTATATCTAATGCGAATATGGATAATCATTTTAACATATAATTAATTCGAAATATCCAAGCCCTGTGTAAGTGAATAATAACATGTACATCCTTAACTTTCTCAACAATATTAGATCGTTAAAAGTTTGCAGACGTAATGTAAGAAGTGCCCCAGGGGTATTCAATCAGCACTTGCGAGGCTAACCACATTGTGCCCACGGTACCGAGTTACAGCCATAATAAAATAGCTGTATCCAACTTGTTTCCTTTAAGATTAACTTTACGTGGCTCTTTGGTCTAATGGTTTGCACGATCGAGGGCAGATAATGAGGTTTGGGATTCGAGTGTTTAAAATTTTTCAAAGTAAACTCTAGTAGTAGTCAAATTTCGTAACGGCAGTTGTTAAAAGCCACCATTATACCCTGAATCAACATGGCGATTTTTTATTAATTTTTATTTTACACCGTTTAATTAAATATAACCGTTTAGCGGTTTAAGTATGTGTGGCTTCAGTACCTTGTAGGGTTCATAAAAACTCTTTAAAACCCCTCTGTATCTATCCGGTCTATCCACTCGTTAGTGGCATTTTGTACTTGGGTAGATAAGAAAGTTTTCAGGTCTTGAGTTCTGTACTTGAGCGACGGAATGTTTTATGAAATATTTGACCTTATTTTTTTATAGAATCTAAGCTTACGTACTAACATGGACAACATTAATAAGATAGAATAAAAAAGAATGTATACTTGTTAATACAATATCGAAACAAACGTGAATGGAATAGAATTATGCTTTTTGAAGTGTAATCAAGAAGCAATATCGTGTTTTAAAAAGTTTCGTTCAAACAAGAAAAAAAATGTTTTTGTTCATTCTCTATTCAGCTCTTCGTCCATGTTCGACGTTGTCTGTAGAAGAACCTTCAATATCGAGGCTCGTCGCTTCCGGCCTTTGAATTTGGTCAGTAATGGGAATTTTCCGCGGGCCCTTGTCACACGGTGGACCTTTTTCAATTTGATAACATTATTCCCGGCGTAATAGTACTTTAAAAGGGTTACTGTAAATGGAATACATTGTTTGTGACAGAAGAAATTGGTCATAATTGAAAAATATATCAACATTTAAAATGTTCAGAAGGCTATGTGTGAAAGTATTTACATTTGCGGAATATTGAATAATCATTCACGCTCCGTGAATAAGTTTTAACCATGAATAAAATAGTAAAAGATGTAACGATGCTTCAAATTTGTGACGTTCTAAGTTTAGAACCTGGAAAAATATAGGAATTATCACTATATTTATACAGAAATATATTTTTACTCGTTTAAAGTTCGTTTTCTATATTTATTTTTAAATATAAATATCGTCTTTTTTATATTACTTGTACTGAACAAAACTGTTATTAATTCTTCTCTAATACATCGTTTTTCGCAATTCAAATATCTCCACTTAGATGTGATATACTATTTTTGAACTCAGTAGAGATTGTCGCTCAAAATAATATTAATATTGAGGGGAAAAAGTCTATTTCTAGTTGCCTTGAGAATGTTCAAAGAAAAAACATAAAAATAATCCCACAAAGTCAAGTTTGCGGTAGAAGTGCGACCTGTTTTACAAGACTGCATCTATTTTCAGCTTGTCGATTGCAGTTTCTTTTATGCTGAGTATGTAGGAAGCTGAAGAGGAAAGAGCATAAGGCGTTTTCATGACTTAACATTTTTCATATATGTATATACGACTTACCACATGTTCTCACTCTGTTATCATTTTAACTATTTGGTCCAATGGTTGGCTAATAATCTACGTAAATTGTTTTCTGATTTTTTAATCGAATTTGAAACCGTCGATAAAAGATTATATGAATGATCAGAATATGCAAATTTCGGATTTCCGTGTGATCCGTTTTCTCACTGATGACCATCTCATATACAATTTTCTTAACAATTAGTACGTAACATATTAACCACAATGTTATTTTTTTACATCTTATCATCGCACATTATAACCGTATCCACATTGAACCGCGCAGGACTCGAACTCACGACTTTAGCGTCCATGTTGTTCCTACCTCGGTTAGAAGCACTTCTATCCAAATATTTTTTTCTAGATTGATATTTTAGCCTTCAATAAAATAACAAAAGAACATACAGACAACATTTTAGTTGTTTTGAGTAAGAAGTAAGTACGTCTCTCAGTATTAAAGCTTTCTCTCAAAAATACTGCTCAAAGATCTTCTGAACTTCAGTAATATTTATTGGAGTGACCCTCAAACTCATCTGTCAGTATTAATAATGGCTAGACTTTTCTTACAAAGTGGATATGAAAGAGACAAAGTTCTGAATTACAAGTAGACAATATCTACAAATATAATTTCTTAATACGTCTGTTTTTAGGTCTGACTCAGAAAATATATTTTTTCTTTATATATTTGTTTGCATTCTCAAAAGACTGAATTAGTTTTAACTTATTACTAAGATATATTGGCCATATGTTGAGGTTTTTAATTGTTTGTTACTGTCTTACATACACACAAAGTGAAACACCGTTTCCCCCATGGGGCATGGGGTGAACACATTTCTGTGTCTGTTTCACTTTCCGTTCGTGCTTTTTTAATTTTGGTTCTACTTGGCATTAACTTGCGCCGAAGGAGGGCTCGTGTCTTGTTGCAAAGGTTAACTAAACCTAAAACAGACCAATATACTTGCGATTTCAGAGGCACTTCCATTGAACGCGAGTATTTACTTTAGAATTACTAATGCAACACAAATTTTTATCATCAACAATTTTATATCATTTTTTTCTGGACACTCAAGATTTCCAAGTTCTTAGCAACTCCATTCTACCAGCGGAGCTTCGGTCTCCCGGGCCTCGTTCCGGTTGAGCATTCAGCGAGGACCTTGGTGTTCTTTTATCCGCCATTCACATGTCCTAACCAGTTAAGTCTGTTGCTTTTGATAAATTGGACGATATTAGCGTCTTAAAGGTTGTTATAACTCTTCGTTCAAAGATTCTTCGTAGGAGAACTCGTTCGTCTCTTTTGCTTAGTGGCCGGGTTTCAGAGACGTAAGTACAGCCCGCAACAAGGGTTTTTTTTTTATGATGGAGCTTGGTATTCTTTTTGAGTAGTTTGAATCGAAAGTAGCAAAATGGAAATCGTTACATTTTTTACTTGCGAGTGCTAGATAAATAAAAAACACTACGCTGAAGTTATTTAGAAACGGGTTTACCTATAAAGATACTATTGATAACTTTGTTAAATGAAAAAAGTATGTAGAACAGGTATTTATAGCTCTTCCGAATAAATTCTCGAAAGTAGGCCAACGAAAAAGGTTAAAGGTGAAAAATGTGACTAAATCTGGAGTAACAGTTATACAAAGCGCAGATAACGATACACGCTCGCTTCAGATGGGTTGCAATACGGAAAGTTTATCAAAGCTATTTCTAATGTGCAGAAGATGCGTCCGCGATAAGAAGTAGCTATTACGTTGCTATTATTAGAAAAAAATATGTCAATGAACAGGGTGAAAAGTCGAACGCTTAGTAATATAATCTACGGGTCGCAGGTTCTATCCCTGCCGGTTCCAACATTTAAACTTTATATAAGTTTGAAAACTTAATTATTTTTTACATGTTATTGCACATGAAGGCACTATATAAATTAAAATCGAAAAAAAATTCGACCCGGGCAGGACTTGAGGATTTTAAATTATATATATATGTTTTCTGAAACAT